GCGTAGCCACACAACTTGGCACGCCGCTGTGGCCGCCGCTACGTACTCTGCCTCGCACGTAGATAGCGCCACCACCTTCTGTTTCAGCGACAGCCATGAAATTGGGGCCGACCCGAGGAAGACGAGTACGCCAGAGGTGCTCCGTCGTCCGTCGATGTCCCCCGCCATGTCTGCATCGCTGAACACCGTGAGCTGCAGCCTACTTCCCCTGGTCTTTGGGAAGATGATTCCATGATTCACCGTCCCCTTGACGTAGCGTAGTAGCCGCTTCACCGCAGCCCAGTGATCCTCTCTGGGATCCTCCATGAAGCGACTGACGTAGCCCACGACGAACGCAATGTCCGGCCTTGTGTGGACTAGGTAGCGCAGACCGCCGACGATGCTCCGGTAGAGTGTTGCATCTACTTTCGCCGCGGTGCTGTCCTTCGTCAGCTTCAGCCGCTCCTCCATCGGAGTCACGCATGGCTTGCACTCCACCATGCCGCTCCTCTCCAACAGCTTGGAGGCATACGCGCTTTGCCCGAGCGTGAGTTCCTCCTTCCCCTGTCTCACCTCGATGCCGAGGTAGTAGGAGAGAGCGCCGAGATCGCTCATTCAAAAACGAGCTGCCATCTCTCGCTTGAAGCTGTTGATATCCTCCGTGCGCGCGCCGGTGACGATTAAGTCATCCACATACACGCCGACCACGAGTTCTTCCTTCCCCCGTCGTCGCGTGTAGAGCGCGTGCTCGGTTGCGCACCTCTGAAACCCAAGCTCGCCCAGCGTGGTGTCAAGCTTGGCGTTCCATGCTCGAGGGGCTTGCCTCAGCCCGTAGAGCGCTTTGCGCAGTCGGAGCACCCTGTGCTCTTCTCCCTTGACAGCGAACCCTGGAGGTTGCCTGACGAAGACCGTTTCCGCCAGCTCGCCGTTGAGGAAGGCCGATTTAACGTCCAAGTGATGGACGCGCCAGTCCTTTGCTGCCGCTAAAGCAAGTAGCAAACGGACCGACTCCATGCGCGCTACTGGTGCAAAGACCTCCTCGAAGTCGATGCCCTCGCGCTGGACAAAGCCTCGGGCGACGAGGCGCGCCTTGTACTTGAGAATTGCGCCGAGCTCATCCCTTTTGACTTTGTACACCCACTTCAGGCTGATCGGACGGCATCCTGGGGGTGGATCGACGAGCTGCCAAGTCTCGTTTTCCTCGATCGCCTTCATCTCCTCCAGCATTGCCCGTCGCCAGTTTCCATCGCGCTCGGCTAGTGCGAACGTGGGTGGTTCCTCTACACTGACGAGTAGCAGCTCTGCGTCGTTGAGTAGCCTACCCGCCAGACCTGAGGGACCTGTGCCGCCGACGATGTTGTCCAGCCTGCGGAACCTCAACTCCTCACCTTCGTGGTAGGCGTCCACGAACTCAGTGATGTCACTTAGAGGTGAGGTAAACTCGATCGAGGGTGATGGAGTTCCTTCTTCCACCGGAGTGCCCTACATAGCACCTGAAGTGCTCGGCACTACTTCTGGACTACTCGTCATAACTCCTGCAGTGTTCGGCCACACTGTAGGAGTGCCCAGCCTCAGTCTTGGAGTGGTCGGAACCACAGTAAGACGTCTTGGCTCCGCCACGGGAGTGCTCGGCACCCGTCCTGAAGTGGTCGCCACCACTGCAGACCCTCCTGGCTCCACTCCTAGCGTGCTCGGCATCCTTCCAGAAGTGCTCGACACTCTTCCCGGAGTGCTCGGCATCCCTCCTAAAGTGCTCGGTACTGCCCCAGAAGTGCTCGACTCTACCGCCGGAGTGCTCGGCGCTCCTCCCGGAGTGCGCGGCACCTGTTCCGCAGCGTCTCCACCGCCGTGGATGACCAAGTGCTCGACGACGAAGGTGTTGGTGAAGCCTCCCGCTTCCCCCGTGCTCGGACTGTGCCAGTCCCAAGCTGCCTCCTCGTTGAACACAACGTCGTGCGAGACAGTCACCTTGTCTCCGCGTGGGTCATAGAGCCGGTACGCCTTGGTACCCTCCGCGTAGCCCAGGAACACCATGGGTGTGCTCCTGTCCTCCAGCTTGGTGAGGTTCGGCTTTGTCTTCCTGACGTGGTCGATGCAACCGAATGTCCGGAGGAATGACACATTCGGTTTGCACCCGTACCAAGCTTCGAACGACATCTTGCCCGTTAGGGCTTTGGTTGGAGTGCGGTTGAGGATGAACACCGCCGTGGTCACCGCCTCTCCCCAGAATTTTGCCGGCATCCCTTTGGCCTTCATCATGGATCGGGCCATGCCGACCACTGTCTGGTTCCATCGCTCCACCACGGCATTCTGTTGTGGCGAGTACGGTGCGGTGTGATGTTGCCCCACACCTTGATCCGCACAGTACGTAGCAAACTCCACCGAAGTGAATTCGCCACCCCGATCAGTCCTCAGTACACGGAGCTTCTTACCGCTCTCGGCCTCCGTGCGTGTCTTGAACTTCTTGATCACCACCGCCGCTTCGTCCTTGCTCGTCAGGAGTTGCAGCCACATGTAGCGACTGCAATCGTCCACGAGTAGGAGGAAGTACCGCCGACCACCGCATGTAGCAGGCGTGATCGGCCCGCAGAGGTCGCCGTGAACTAGCTCGAGAGCTTCCTTCGCGCGATACTTGGCCGCCTTTGGGAAAGGTAGCCTCCTCTGCTTCCCGGCCAGGCAGCTGTCACACAGCTCGCCTCCGTGTTTGATGTGGGGTAGCCCTCGGACCATCTTCCCCAGCCGATCAAGCGCGTCGAAGCTAAGATGTCCGAACCGGGCATGCCACATCCACGGTTCCTCGGAGTGCCTTGCCGCTAGGCAAACCGGCTGCTCTACCTTGAGGTCGAGTAGGTACAACCGGTTCAGGGACCTCTTCACCTTGGCGAGAAGTCGCTGCTCCCGGTCTCTGATCCTCAGAACGCCGTCCTTGATCAGAACCTCGCTACCGCGCTCATCCAGCTGACCAATGCTGATGATGCTGGAACGCAGCTGCGGAATGTAATATACATCCGTTAGCGCACGGTGCTCCCCATTCTGGCATCTGAAGATGATGGTGCCGCGCCCTTAGATAGCCACCCTTGAGCCGTCACCAAACTTCACCGTACCGGTAACATCGCCGTCGAGCTCGGAGAAGGAGTCCTTGGAGCCCGTCATGTGGTTACTGGCACCAGAGTCCAGATACCACCGCTGCTCCTGGTCGACGCCCACATGCCCAAGATGGACTTGGGCGCGTGGTTCGTCGAGGTTGACGGTCTTCAGGGCCTTGCTAGATCCTTCCACCGTCGTCGCCTCTTCCCTCTCCATGGCCCCGACATCGTGCAGTGCACAGAACGTCGCCATAAGGATAGTGGCCTTATCCTCATCATCGGCTTTCGCCAGGTGAGCCTGAGCCTTCTTTTCATTCTTGCGATTTGGGCACTCCTGTGCCCAATGGCCCATCTTCCCGCAACACCGACAGGCGTTGGAGTTGATTTGCTTCTTCTCTGAAGAAGCCCTGCTACGATGTTTGCCGTTTCCGCCGCGACTGGAGGAGGCTGCCTTCCCAGAGTTTTGCCGAGCAGCCCACTCCTCTTCCGTCAGCAGGAGTTTCCCGCTGTCCTTCGTTGTTGTCACCTGTTCCAGGCGCCGTCCACCGCCCGTAGACGGCCTGCCACATCCTCGATGGTGAGGGTGGACAAGTCCAGCATCGTCTCTATGGAGAGAGCGATCTGGATGTACTTTGCTGGCACGGAGTGGAGGAATTTGGAGACCGCCTCCTCTTCGTCGATGGTGACGCCGTGGCTCTTCAGCTTGCTGATGAGCGTCTGCAGGCGGAGGGAGAAGTCCTCCACTTTTTCACCATCCTTGAACTTGAGGTTTGCATACTCCTGCTTCAGAAGCTGGGCCATTGCCTTCTTTGCGCGGTCGAAACCGACGCGCATCGCCGCAATGGCCTCCCACGCCTCCTTAGCTGAGCTCTTCGTCCCCAACGGTTCCCTATACTCCGCCGGTACAGCAGCGAGGATAGCCTCCATCGCTGACATGTCGTCTTCTTCCACGTCGGTGCCCTTGTCAACAGCATTCCAGAGCCGTCTGGCTCTGAGCTTGACTTTCATGGTCACCGACCACTCTCCATAGTTAGTGCGAGTCAGCGTCAGCCAAGTGGTGCCGCTGACCTCCCGCACCGTGCGGACAACTACCTCCGGTAGTGGCTGGGCAGCTATGACAGTGCCACTGCCATCGCCCAACTCCAAACCGCCTGTCCTCGCCATCGGTTAGAATGACGACGGCGCTTGTACGGCCCGATACCACTTGTTGGCCCACGGGATCACCGTCTGACGATAGTGAACTAGTCTCCGACCACTAGTCTCCCAGACCACTAGTCTTCCAGACCAGACCACTAGTCTCCCAGACCAGACCACTAGTCTCCAGACCAGACCACTAGTCTACCAGACCAGACCGCTAGTCTCCAGACCAGACCACTAGTCTCCCAGACCAGACCGTTAGTCTCCAGACCAGACCACTAGTCTCCCAGACCAGACCGCTAGTCTCCCAGACCAGACCACTACACCGGTTGTGTCCGTACACACACTACGGATCGAGCTAGAAGAAGAAGGGAGAACAGAGCAAGCACGCACAATACAAGACAACAACGTTGACTGAAGCCCTGTCTGTGTGATGGCAAATCTGAGCTCTCTTCACTGAGTTGCCTTGGTGCCATATTTATACACCTCTATCTATCTAACTAAAGTACAGCGGACATGCTGTAACAGTAACTAGATAAGTATACAGGGCTGACTCTGCGTCGGCCATTGCATGTGCCTACAGTGCTGCAGGTGAGCCATGCGACGACTGCACCTACAGCGGCTACTGTATTACAGGAGGGGGTAAAGTCGGCGCCGTCTTCCTCTACTGTGTTTCACACAAGGTGGCAGTAGATTAGCTAACACGTAATGGCCTCAAGAAAAGTCTCAGTTTCAGCTTCGAAGACTTGTTGTCCAGGTCTTTTGTTTAGGACTCCACGTACATCCAAGTACCTGAGTTTAGTGAACGTGGCTCAGGGCCCCCAATGGTTCTGATTCTCCTAACATCAGATAGGAACCGGAGAAATCCAAATGCACCAGTTTTTCTAGACTCATGAATGAGTCTGGTAATCGCCAGATTCTATTCCAGCCTGACAAATCGAGATGCATCAGATCTTTCATTTCTCCAATTGACTTTGGTATTTTTTCTATATCAGATTCGTGAAGATTGAGGAAAATTAGATGCGAGAGCTTTATGATACATTCCGGGAACATCAGATCTCGCACCCCCGGAGCACTAAGATATCTCAACTGCTTCAGTTGACCAATGGAATCTGGCAACTTGTGTATGCAGCACTCGCTTAAATCCAATACTCTCAGGGTCGTTGCAGGTGCAAATGCAGCACCGCGTAGTTTGGTGCTGTGACAGTCAAAAAAACGCAGTGCTATTAGCTGAGCTGCACTTGTCAACCACAGTGGCATGCTGCAATCTCCGAGCACTGCATATTGGTGGTAATCCTCGCTTTTCCGCATAGTATTTTCTTGTTTGCTCTTATCCAGAAGTTTGTTGCCCAGGAGTGAAATTGCCAAGTCATGCGCCAGATCATGCATAATGAAAATTGTAGCTTTTTCGCTATACGCTTCAGCAGACTGCATCAACAAAAGTACATACTAGTGTCAGGTTTCTCAACTATACTTGATTAATTTTGTATATATAATATCGCTATACATGCCAAATTAAAGCCCGTGAGTACACGGGACCAATCCAGAAAAATTTTCAGATCGAACCATTCTTTGGACAAATTCATAAAAACACATGTGATCGAAGTATCGAAGTCATGTTACAGATGTATAAGCGTTGAGGTTTAATTTAACCAAGACTTTCTTTAGGGAAACCACTTTCGTGTCTTACTATGCCTCTTAATATTACTTCCCCCATTTTCAAATATACAATGGTTAGAATGAGCTAATTAGTTAAACTGTGAACAACTTAGCTTGTCTTAAACTTAATAAATATTTTACAAAAATGATGTAATCTATTTTACTACCAACCTAAGGCTCTCCTTTTGAAACATTCGTGTTAACCTAGTCACGAAAAGATTAGATAAATTCTAGAAACTCCCAAAACATAAAACCAAAACATATTGCAATATATTTGGTAGAATATTTTTTTCTATTAACAATAATAGCTCTATTATCTTATCTTAATCTTGATATTACAATTTGAGGCTTCCAACGGTGTAATAATGTCTCTAGAATCTACTTACAACATAACTTTCATAAGGAACAATCCCACGTATACATAGCAGTCATCTATATATACTTTCATCCTAATTTCTTGTAAAATGAGTTAACTCAGAAGGTTCTATATTTGGAATGAGAATGTTTATATGCCAACATGAACCTATTTATAGACAACGAAGGTGAGACTAATTTCATCAAAACACAGCATATCTATCTATCTATACTCTACAAAGAAACAATACAAACAATCCAATGTCCACTCAAGTTTGCATCCCCCATAGAGATGGGTTTCCCTTTATGTACTCTAGTTTGTGCACCAAGAAAATTAACACCATTAAAATCAATAGCTCACAGGCATCAACGCTCCTTTCCACTCCCGCTCCCTCGCCCGCACCACCTGAAAACTTCTCCCCAAATACCACTCCTCGAGGCCCCACACCAACACTTCTTCGTGAATGCTACCACTTCTTTGTGAATGCCACCTCCGTAGCGTGAGGCCTGATTACCTCTATTCTCGTAATCACTGTTCAAAATTACATGTTGCGTAGCGTGAGGCCTGATTACCTCTATTCATACCATTCAAAATTCCACCTGTTCATGCGCCTAGATTTTCACTTGTGCTATTTTCTTTATATTATTCATGTATGATTGCTATCTGACATAAGATAGTTGATTACATGTATGGTCATGTCACAGAAGACCATCGTATGGTTAAGTTGATTCTTGATATAGCAATCACCTGAGTATATCACCCACACCCATGCGTTGTCATGGAGCAACCAACACTATCCCAAGTGGAATTTTAAAGCACTGTTGGTGCTTCCGTAGAGGGGATACAGAATGATTTTATTTAAATGGATCATATGATTGTACCAGAATTCCTTTACCGCAACATGATTTGTATGATTTTGGAAGGTACTAAAGTTGCTATGTTATTTAAGCACGTCACGATAAGTCTCTTTATCGTTCTTTTTTTTTGCAAGAGTCTTAAATGCACATCCTCTTTTGGTTGTCTGGTTTGCAGTTAACTAGCTATCCGGTTGTGCAATTCATGTCTGTTTGCAAATATAAAATGGATAGAATACTGAAAACTTTGTTGCATAGTCACATCTCCTCCCCGCGCACGCCTGGTGCTTGCCCATGTGCCGCCGCTGCTCCTCCTCCGGTCCCGACGCGCGTGGCACCGCTCCTCCCCCTCCCGACGCATGCCGCAGCCCCCACGCTACTGAATGTCTTCTCGGGCTGCAGACGGAGCATCGCAGCCGTGGCCTCGCTGGCCGCGGTGAGGTGCTCCCCCTTGAGCTCGCCCTCAGTGCTGCCGCGGTAATGGCCTCTCTCATTGCTGTGCACTCCTCTGACTCCACACGCGCCATGGACCCCGCCTCACGACTGATATCAAACCCCCTCCTACTCTCCATCCGTCTCCTTCTCTGTGTCCAGCTTCCATTCACGGATCTGCCAGCGCGGGCACGACACCCCACCGGCCGGTGATGGGTCAGGTCCTGGTCGTGGTCATCGTCCGTCGACTGGAGCGGCGATGGCAAAGGTTTTGGGGCCAATCAAAGAGCATCAAGGCGGAGACGCATTAGCTGGTAGTTTGAAGATTGGACTGATTTTTTGACGTTCTGTTTGGGATCTATATTTCCTGTTCATAGGCCCCAAACTAGGGGAGGCAATGCCTGATCGGGAAGAGGGGGCCAGCACCTCGGTTGCAGCAACAAGCGAGGATGAGAGATGTGGTCACACGGCAATAGGCGAGCAGCTCTGCTGCTTGCTTGTGCTATCAACTGGGATGAGAAGCAGCAGTTTGGTGAATGGCTAAGAATCAATCCATCAAGAAGGAGAATAGTTAACGATAATAGAAGTAAATGGTCTGATGGAGGTAGTTCCGGGAGCCTCCCAAAGCTGAAGTGCAGTGACAATTCAAATACTCCGTAAGAGTCAAGAGAAGGGGATAATTAAATAAAAAACTAGTTTGACGAAGGAATCTTCCCGGATTGATAGGAATATTATTGAGGATGGAACCGCTAGTGATCCACAGAAGCCTATTCTTGAAGATGCTGCAAATGGGGATATTAGGGAGGATCTACCAAGGAAAGGGCAACCTGAAGTTGAGTTTTCCTACAGCGGGGCTGCTCAACCGGCCCAGGTTGTTTCCCTTGGAAATAATGGAAAGGAGTTAGGAGGGGAAGTAATGCTTCCAGAAAGGGATGGGAACTTCACTCGGGATGAGGAAGTGGCTGCAAATGATGATCTTGGTCAAATGGAGGTGGATTGTGAGCAACAAGAGGAGGGGGTGATTATAGCTGCACTAGATGCGAGCCAGGCTTTGTTGGCCCCTGCACACTATGATGGAAAGGAATATCAGGATGAAAGGAAGCACTGGGGAACTTACAAACGAATTCCTCGGGAACTAAGGAATTTTGCAGAATGTGGAGAATTTTTGGAGGTGAAAAAGAGGCATTTGCAAGAAGAGGAGATGGAGTATGGATAGGAGCTGAAGAGGCAAAAGGTGAGTGGAAAGGAGATAATATTGCAAAATGATTTGTTTCAGGCGGGACTGCAGGAGCAGTTTCGCCATGAAAAATGAGGCTTGTTGCTTGAAACTGCCGGGGATTGGGGAACGGCCTGGCAGTTCAAAGGCTTCTGAACGTCCAGAGGCAGGAGGCCCCTAACGTGCTTTTTCTTTCTGAAACAAAGCATGATAGTAAATGGATGGAGTGGTGGCGATGGAAGCTGAATATGCCAAATATGATTGCGGTCGATAGCGTGGGAACAAGCGGATGTCTAGCACTTTTCTGGAAAAGAGACGTTGATGTTACTATACAGAGTTATTCAGAATATCATATTGACACTGTGGTGAAGGGAGAAGACGGCCTCGAAGGAGATTTACTTGAATTTATGGGGAATCAAGAAATGAGGAGAAAAATAACACTTGGGAACTCTTACGTACCCTAAAAGATCAAAACAATTTACCTTGGCTGTGCAGCGGTGATTTTAACGAAATACTTTTCAATTGTGAAAAGGAACGAGGCGTCCCACGAAGTGAGCGATGCATGGAGAAATTCAGACAAGCATTAGAAGATTGTCAGTTACATGATCAAGATTTTGTCGGTGATGCCTTCACTTGGAGAAACCACCATCGGGATGTTGCAAGTTATACAAAGGAAAGGCTAGACCGAGCGGTGGCAAATAATGCTTGGCGCGGTTGCTTTCCTCTGGTGAGAGCAATCCATGGTGAACAACGCCATTCAGATCATTGCCCAATAATAGTAGATGCTGGGGATAAGGGGTCTCATCGAGTGGAGGAAGCGACAGGAAATAAAGAGGAAGTTTGAGGCTAAATGGCTTGAGGAGGAAGAATGTAATGCTCGGGTACAAGAAGCATGGGCAGCAGCTGTAGAGAATGGGGGTGCTTGCATGGACTTACAAAGTATGGTGTTGTGCGACTTATGTGAATGGGACAGAAATGTTTTGGGGAATTAGAGAAACAAATTATGAAGGTGAGAAATGATTTGGAGAAATGTAGGAGGATGAGCATTTCACAAGAACAAGTAAACCGGGAACATTTATTGCGGTATAAGCTAGAACGCTTACAAGACCAACTTCATGTCTACCAGAAGCAGAGAGCGCATATCGCTTGGCTAACAAAGGGTGACCGGAATACTAAATTTTTCCACGCTCAAGCCTCGGAAAAGAGAAGGAGAAAGTTTGTGAGGAAATTGGAGGATTAAGACGGTGGAATAGTACAGGGCCCGCACTTGAGAAGATTTATAGCTAACCACTACCAGCAACTTTTTTTTTTGTCTTCTGCAGGTGCTGATTCATGTGAATGTATTACCAAAATACTTGAATGTGTCCAAGAACGTGTAACCTAAGAAATGAATGAAATACTCATGAAGCCATTTACTGATGAGGTAATATGGACATCATTGGACAATATTGGAGATTTAAAAGCCCCAGGAGCTGATGGCTACCCTGCTATTTTAAGGTTCTCGCATGTGGTTGGGGACCGGGTGAAGCAAGAGGTGCACAATGTTCTAAATGGTGGTGACATGCCAAATGGGTGGAATGATACTATAATTGTCCTTATTCCGAAGGTCAGAAACCCAACCAAGCTTAAAGACCTTAGACCCATCAGCTTATGCACAGTGCTATATAAGATTATTTCAATGGTGCTTGCAAATAGGCTTAAGAACTTCTTACCTGAGATTATATCTCCCTCCCAAAGTGCTTTTGTCCTAGGCCGTATGATTACAGATAATGTTTTGTTATCCTACGAGCTTCAATTATCTCAAATCAAGAAGGAAAGGGAAGAATGGAGTGGCTGCTATTAATTTTTTCTGAGTAAACAGGAGGGGTCGCCCTCAACTGGAATTTTATTAAACTTTTTGAAAAATTAATTACAAAGCTGGGTACAGTTCATGAAACAAAAAAAGTAACAAACACTACCGGACACGGCTGATTTGCCGAGTGCAAAAAGCTTTGCCGAGTGCTTTCTATCGGGCACTCGGCAAAGGCAATCTTTACCGAGAGCCGGACCCAGCGGCACTCGACAAAGATAGGCCGTCGGCAAATCTTCCTTTGCCGAGTGCCGGACACTCGGCAAACTTTAGCCGTCGGCAAAAATTTTCCTTTTGCCGAGTGCCGGGCGCTCGGCAAAGATTGGCCGTCAGCAAAAAAAATCTTTGCCGA